GTGGAGAAACTGAGGTGCCTCTTCTCAACTCAAGTTCCTGTACAGCTTTAGAAACGAACTGGGCTGTTTCCACTGCACCGAGGGAAGAGGAGTGAACATTCACGGCAGAGGCAGGAGCCTGTCCTATGCCAGAGCCCAGTTCTGCCTGGCCCCCACCTCATTCCCAGGGGCCTGCCCTTGCCCCTGCTCTGTGCCTGGCCAAGGCAGAAGCAGGAGTCAGACAAAGCTATGCCCCAGAGGTCAGATGGTGGAGACAGACAGAGACCCCAGGAGGGCCAAGGAGTCTGCTCTGGGAGGTGGTGGGGGTATGCTGTGTGAACAAGGAATTCAGAAAGGCAGGAGGGCAGGAGGGGAAGGAAAGGACAAACAACCTGTCCCCTTCACCCTCACGCCTGTTCCCACCCAGCAGACCTTAGTAATCTCACAGAATTCTATGTTGTTTTGTTTTGTTTACAGAATCTCACTAGGTAGCCTTAGCTGGCCTAGGATGAAACTGGCTACACAGATCACAATAATCTGCCTGCCTCTGCCCCACCCCAAGTGCTAGCGTTAAAGTCATGTGCCTCGCGCCCGGCTTACCTGCCTCTTAAGAGGTGCTGGGGAGGGTCCAGCGAGCAGCCACGCGATAGCTTTGCTGAATGCACATCTCAGACGAGCTACACTCCACCCTGAAACCCTAGCACAGTCCTAGCAGGATGGGATCCAGTCACTGGGGTGACTGCAGGGCCATGGTGAGACAGTCCCCTCTTCTAACATCACCGTGTTCTGGCTCCCATGGACTTAACCTGAGCACCAGGGCCAGAGACAAAGCAACCCAGGCCTGTCCAAAAGCAGGTAGAGGCCACACTCAGTCGCTGAGAGCAACCGACCTCCTGAGATATCCAGGACCTTGACTAGGGAAACCAGCCATTGTAGGCACCAGGGAGGGGTGTGTGTGTGTGTGTGTGTGTGTGTGTAGTTCTGCAAAAACATTATAATCAGTCCCCTCCCCCCCGAGGGGGGCTGTTAATAGCTTCCCAAAACATCCATTCCAGAATCCTTAGCCTCTGTCGGCCTCATGTACCACTAAAGGCTTGAAGATGGCTAGGGGGAGGATCCTGGATGGGTCCTCATAGTAACTGCAAATGTCCTTATAAGAGAGAAGCAGGGCTGGGCACCTGGCTCCATGGCAGAGTGCCTGTGTAGCATGGACAAGGGTCTGGAATCTTTCCTTACCACTGCCCTGAATGAGTGAATGAGTGAATGAGTGAATGAATGAATGAGTGAGTGACTGACTGACTGAATGAATGAATGAGTGAATGAGTGAGTGAATGAATGAAGCCATGTGTGCTGGTGCCCCTAACACTTTGGAGGCAGAGGTATGAAGATGAGGAGGTCAAGGTCTGAGGTTATCCTGAGCTACAAAAGACCTTGACTCAAAAGAGGCGGGGGAGAAGCCAACAAGGCAGTTCATAGGATAAAGGCGCTGGCTGCGAGTTCCACCCCCACCACCCATGGAGAGGTAGAAGACGTAAAACAAAGGCAGAAAACTGTCCTCTGGCCTCCACTCACCAGCCACAGCACGAGCACAGCCAGACACAAACCTCATGCACGCAGAGCAACAAGCAAAACTTAAAATAAATAAAAACCAGAAAGATAGGGAGTAGCAGAGAGGCTTGAGTGCAGAGGAGAAGATGGAATGAAACAATGGAGTGGAAACTGCGGTGACTCAGTCACAAGGAATGCCAGCAGCTGGGAGAGCTGGGGGAGATGGAGCTGGCCAGCATTTTAGCCCCACAAGGCTCATCTCAGACATCCTGGACCAGAGGAGAATGAATCCACGTTGCTTTATGCCACTGACTTTCTGGCTTTTTGGGTTCAGTCCTAATGAGGAAAGACATGCCTGAGGAACAGGGGACAGGGTGAATGATGGAGCCCGGCCGCTCCCTCCTGCTTGGAGAAGGGTGACATTATGGCTTCGACTGCCCCAGTGTAACAGGAAGTCCCCATTAACGGTTACTAGGGATGACTCCTACCTTGTCACCCAGCGGGGGCAAGAGGGTACCGGGCAGGGACTGGCTGGCAGGAGTAGACATGAGTGGACTCTCACTCCTGTGCACGCCTGAGTGATGGGCAGCGCGGTGCCCAGGAACAGGCCCTGGTCTGTTCTGGCCACTGGAGCCTTCTATACCTGACCACGTGCTGCACTGACACGTAGGATCACAGGATGCATCCAGGGCCCACCTACTCTCACAGCCAGCACTGGGAAAGCTGGGGTCCCAAGGACAATGGTCCCAATAATGACATCAGAGCATGGTAACTCAGCCCCACTGGGCAGCAAAAGGACATTCTACAGCCTTATATCCAAGCTTGGGAATGGGCTTCACGACGTCCAGGTGGGTACCCCAAAGGCAAGCGACTTTGAGCAAGGAAAGATGGGGCCTGAGGCCTGCAGGGAGCGGGTAGATCCACCTGATCTGAGGCAATCCCAGGGAGGAACCACTACCCAGAGAAGAGGCTACTGAGGTGGGGCCTTGAAGGCCAAGCCTCGGGACCTCAGGAAAACAAGGATTGAAAGGGCAAAAGATATGTCTGGAGGACTTGGGTGGTTGGGAGGGGCTCCACAGGCACTGAGAGATAGGGAAGAAGAGGCTCAGTGAACATGACTAGCTACAGACAAGCCCTGTCTTATCTGCCGAGCCTACAGAGCCACTTGGGGAAGGTGTGACCTGCTGTCTGTAACTAGTACAGCCAGCGATCACACCTATGAGCCCTTTGTAAGACCTAAGTAAGATGCCCTTAAGCTGCCCTACCCCTGCTCTCCCCAGGGTAGAATGGGGGCTTGGGGTGGCTAGAGGACTTGGCCATTCTGACAGAGAACAGTAAGCACAGGACAAACGGTGATCAGCAGGTCCTCTTATTCGTCAAGGCCAAGAGGGACTCCCACTTCAGTGGGGCCTCACCACCACCACCAGTGTCCAGTCATCTTGCCCCCAAATGACCCTCTCTTTATTCAATGAAGGGACTCAGCGACAATGGCCATCAACTACCTAGCAAACGCCTCATAGTCAAGTGCTGAGTGACCAGATCTAATGTCACCATCACCGTCCCTAAGTCTCTGTGGGAAGGCAGCAGTTAGCCTCACTTCACACCTGGGGAAACTGAGCCACAGGCAAAGCTCTCTGCTTCAAGGGCATGGGCAAGCAGGAAGAGAGAAGAGAAAGTCTTGTTAAGGAGAAAGAAGATAGGCCCTCAAGCAGGAGGATGGTGGAGAGTGCCTTCCCTGTGCCCTCTGATGGGCCAAGAAAGGCCTTCTTTTTTTGGGGGGGTGGGGGACTAGGTCTCAGAGCCATCCCAAGAGCATTCAGGGGAAAGCAGGGTAGATAAGACAGAGACAGCACAGGCTTCTGAGAAGCCCACAGCTGTCCCACCGAAAGCCACAGGCTTCCTGCCACCAGTGGCCAACCCCCACCTCATCGGGTCCTGTCTCAGAGGCAGCCACTTGGTCTTACCCGGTGGTGGGACCTGTGAAGCTTACCCCGGAGCTCCCACTCCTGTCCTGGGAGCCCCAACAGACCCCCTCCTCTCTTCCCACACCTTGCCAGGACTGATGCTGAGAACAGAGAGGAAATGGGGGGCTCTCCCTGCTGTAACCTCAACAGCAGCCTCTCCCCTAGGGTAGCCAAAGATGGCTTGTCAGACACACCCACCTTCCAGACTGGTATTCAGCTTTGCACCTCTGTGCTTTGTCCATGCTCGTTCCTGACCTGACTGTTTGATGGTTTGAACTCTAAGGTCCTCTCCTCACCCTGTTGAACTTTCCCCAATCCGCATTTGGGTGAACTATCAGCTCCCAGGCAAGGACGGTCCCTACCAGGTGCCTGACTCCTGCCTTATTCTCAGCACTTAGTCAGGGGCTCATCTCTTGGCCCACCGGCCTCTCCTTGGGAAGAGAAGCCTCTCAGGGCAGGCTGCCCCCAGGCTTCAGCTCTGACCCGGCATGGGGCAGGGGCAGCAGCTCACCACACCCCACCCTCAGGTCTTCTTCACCTCCACCCAGAACACTAACTCTGTCACGAGGCCCAGCAAGGATCCTGGGAGGTGTCCACCCTCCCTTGCAAGGCAGAGCCACCCAGGAAGTCTTCCTGGCTCCCTGAACCCTTGGCTGAGTACTCCACCCTCTGGCACAGCGGAGATCATGGCCTGTGCCTTGGGGATCTGGGTGCCGATTCTGGCTGGGTCACCTTAAGAGGGAGGATGGCTTCCTTTCTGCAGCCGGGGCTCATCTGTGTGAAGTCGGGGGCAGACTCACCAGGAAAGGCTGCCAGGGGGAAATTTAGCACTTGTTAATGATCTTCAGTCCTACTCAACCCCGGGGGACCCCCTACGAAGACCTTCCTATACTCCCAAACCCGAGGGCTGGAGGTGGAAAAACAGCCAGTCTCTGCCAGACCCGCCCCGCTCCCAGCACCTCACACCCAGCCTTGCAGGCAAGGAGAGAGGCCCCCCTTCAACCATGGTACTACGGCCAAGAAGGGGTGCAGGATCATACAGCTGGGATCTTTGGCCTCACGCCTTCTCCAAGCCATGCGATGGGGGCATCAAGAGAGGTTAGGAGGTTGAAGGGTTGAGGGGCACAGAGGTGGGGACAGGAAAGGGGACTTGTAGGGAAGATTAGAAAGTCAAACCCCGGAGATAAGCACACCCCGGCGCATCCGCCCTGGGAACACGGCTTCAGAACACCCAGGTGGAGGCGAAGGAGGCCCCTCGGCCAGAGCTGCGGTGGAGGTGGGGATGAGTCCACCGGCCCTGGAGGATCTTCGGGGGAGGAGGGAGGGGGGCCTCCGCCTCCTAGGCCTGCAGGCCAGCGCTCAACTCCCATCCTGAATCCACGCGATGTACAACCCCTGCTCAGATTTATGCTCCGGAGGCACTGGCCCGCGTTGCACCTGCACACACACACACCCAAACACACACTAACGCGCTCTCGCACACGCCTCCCTCAGCGTAGCGCCTCCTACCTGCCGCGTCGCCGCAGCAGGAGCTGGACTCCCGGGTTGCAGGGCACAGTACGGTCACGGGGGCGAGGGCTGGACCAACCCGCGCTCCACAGCCTGGGAATCTGCGGGGAGATGCTGTCCCGGCAGCCCACGAGCCGGGGCTGGAGCTTGGTCCCCGGGACTTCGGTCTGCCCCGTCCCGCCTCGCAGCCTCCTCCCATTTGAGGCTAGAGGCGTGGTCTCGATGGGGTGGGGCGGGGGCAGCTGAGTGCGCATGCGAACTGGAGAGGCCGCCCAGCAGTGCTGGCTAGGAAGTGGGAGGGTGGCCCTGGCCCCAGCGCTCCCTCCTTCCCACCTCAGTACTGTCTGGGGTAGGAGAGCATCCCCGGGCACTGGCTGCCCAGCTCGGCCTTGGCTCTGGCAGACCTGGATGGCCAGCCAAGTCTGGCAGAGGCTGTTGGCTGTCTTGGAGTACAGGGACGCAGCCAGGGCCAAAGCGGGGCCCCTGCGAATGGGAGGACCAATGAGACTAGAAGCCCTCCATTTCCACCTGTTTCTTCATACCCACTCCCAAGATTTTGGCTGGGGAAGATGAATGCAGGCGCTGGTGAAGTGCCCAGAGGACCCAGTCAGTGAAAGAGAGCTGACCCGGTCCTGGTCATCTATCTGCGCAGGGTGTAGACTGAGAGCAGGGCCTAGATTGGGGCTCTCTCTGACTGGCCTCAGTTTTTTACTCGATAGAATGGGAACTGTAATCTTCACTCATGCCAGGCTGTTTGGGCAATGCCATAGGAAGTGATGGGTGACCAAGGCTGGTCAACAGGCTTGGCGTGGCAACCTGTGGCACTCTAAGGCTGCAGAGACACTTGTCTGACCTGGTCACCCTGGATGCGACTGGCCCACCTTGTGGGGGAGAAACTAGGGCTCGCTCATCCCTCCAGTCTCCTGGTTTCTGTTAATGATTACCTCAACCTGTCAGTCGGGCCCAGCGGCCTAAGTGTGGCTCCATCTGGTTATCTGACTGAGCGAATAGAGTTTTCAAGTTGCTGTCCACCACCACCCCAAGCACGAAGTTCCAAGACTGGACTAGGTTTTACTTTCCCACTTACCCTAGCCCTGGTCTATGGCTGACACTGGACTGAAAGCCTGTCAGGCTTATCTTTCTATCCTCACAGAAAAGCTCTTCTGGTCGACCCTACACAGCCTCAGCATTGCTGTCTCTGCACAGAAGCCCTTCGTCAACAAAGCAGACCTAGATCCAGGCCTCAGTTACAGGGCAAGTTCTTTATCCTTTCCTGGTCTCAGCGTCCTTGTCTGTAAAATGGGCTTTCTAGGAGAAACACATGGTGACTGGGGACAGAAAAGTCAAAGGGTTCAGTCAAGGTCCTCAGTCGGGGAAGTAGGCAGCATTGCCTCTGGCAGGCCACGCTCATATCTTCTGAGATGGAACAGGGAGTCATGTCTGGAAAAGAGCGTCTTCAGCCTGCAAAGCCGTGGTATCCAGAGAACGTTCTGGCTCCCTTCTGTAGTTCAGAGTATGGAGCCAGGAGGGGTGTCATATGCTGGTTGCAGCCATGGGCTCTGCCTTGACTCCTTCCCTGTGTGACCTTGGGCAGGAGACCAACTGCACTGCCCAACCTGCATAGCCCCGCCCACCCCGCAGTCTTGGGGGTTGACCGGCTTGACTCATGGGGAGTCCTGATGGTGGCCTCTGGCTGCCACTGTATCATTTGTCATGATACAATGTCTCCAGCACCAGAGACAACACTCTAACACGCTGATTAGTCCCAGATGCTTCAGAACCTGTCTTAGACCAGGAGGCCTGTCTCAGAGCCCATCTCTGGCAGCTTCCACCTCCCTGAAGCATGGGTCAAGAAACCCAGTGAGACAGTGGCCTGTGGAGGGCACCCTGACGGAGGGAGCAGTGGCTCTGATCTCTGGGGAGCAGAAGATCAGAACATGCCAGGAAGAGCCAGGCTGCCTAACAAGGCTTTCTGAGGGGCGGAGGACGCATCTCTGCCAATGTGTTGGCCCCAGGACCCTGCCAGATGGTTTTTATAAGCTTAGTCATCTAATGGTGCCATTAAAAAGCCTGACGGGTAGGTGTTTTCCCATTAAATTCTCACAAGCATTAACCCCACTTAGCCAGTGACAGACCTAAACCTCAGGGAGATGCCCCAGGTCACAAAATTAGTAAACAGCAGAACTGGGATCCAGACCTACAGAACCCTGCTGATTCCATCCATTCTTGAGTTGGGTCTCTCTTCCTCCTCCTCCTCCTCCTCCTCCTCCTCCTCCTCCTCCTCCTCCTCTTCTCCTGGCCTCCAGGGAGAGACCATCTCGTTGGGTCCCTTGACCCCCTGTCCACCCTCTACTTCCTGTAACTGGGATCTCATTTCTTCCAGGGCTAGCCTTGTTCCTTCTGCTTCTCAGAATCTTTTATATCGCAACCCATTCTACCTAGCCCTTAGAGCTCTACACCCCTCACCAATGTCTGGGAACAGAATTGTCTCTGCACAGGCAAGAGCCCGTCACTAGTGTTCCTGTGTGTAATAGTGTTAGAGTTTTCCCAGGTGAAACTTGCAGTGATCTTTCTTTCTTTCTTTCTTTCTTTCTTTCTTTCTTTCTTTCTTTCTTTCTTTCTTTCTCTCTCTCTTTCTTTCATCATTTTGGCTGGCCTTGAACTCCCAAGGTCAAATTATTCTCCCATCTCAGCCTACTGAGTGCTGGGACTACAGGTGTTGTGTGTGAATGTGAAGTGTCCCTGCATGGATTCATGTACTGGTCTCCGGCTGATGGTGCTGTTTTGGAAGGCTGTGGAACTTTCAGGAGGTGAAGCCTCATAGGAGGAAGTACGTCACTTGGAGATGGCCTTGAGATGTTAGAACTCAGCCCGCCTCTTGTCCATTCTGTGCTTCCTAACTTAGTATGACTAACCACCTCATGATCCTGCCATCATGTCTTCCCATCAAGATGGACTGTGTCCTTTATCAAACTGTAAGTCAAAACAAGCTTTTTCTAAATAGCAGCTTGTCATGGCAAAGATAAAAGCTGATAATACAGAAAATGGGTATCATGAGTGGTTTTGTGTTTTTTTTTGTTTGTTTTTTTATAATACATCTGACCAGCTGGTTCTTAGGTCATTTGGAATTGGTTTGTAGGAAAAATGTAGAAGAATCCTCTAGAAAGTTTTAAGGGGAGCTCAAAAGGACATTCTGATGGGACTTTGAAGTTTCCATTTGCCAAGGGAAATGTGTACAATGGAGGCCCTGCTCATGAGGTTTCAAAGGAGAATTAAGATTCTTATCAGGAATTGGGTTAGAAGTCATTCATATCACATTCCAGTTAAGAATTTGGGTACATTCTGCTGATGTTCTGGACATTAAGTGAAACCAAACTAAATACAAATAAAAACAGTGAACTGATTTGTTTGGTAGAAGAACTTCTAAGATTTCACAGTAGTGACAATTGCTTATTGCTCTTATCCAGGTGTATAGAGAGAGGAAGAACAGTGGAGTAGAAAGATATGAAAATGTGTAGTTTGGTGGGGGAATGAGGGAGCTTAAAGTTGTAGGTGAGACAGATGCAAGAGCAGTTGTTAAAGGGATTATCCCCATTAAAGAAACAAAACAAAACAAAAACTAGTGCTGTGTCCCGGGTACTCAGAATGCTGAAGAAGGGTTTCTAGTTTGCTTCCTCGTTGCTCTGATAAAAACCACAACCAAAAGCAGTCTGAAGTGGAAAGGGTTTATTTCATCATCCACTTGTAGGCTATAAATCATCCATGTGGGCAGTCAGCGCAGGAGCCTAGAGGCAGGAACTGAAGCAGAGACCAGGGATGACTATTGCTTACTGGCTTGTTTCCTGCTTCTGCTCAGCTGACTTTCTTGTAGGACACAGGGACCTGCCCAGGCGCAGTACCACCCACAGGGTAGGCTCTCCTCTACCAATGTAGCAATCAAAAAGTGCTCCACCGAGATACCCATGGGCATATCTGATGACATTCATTCTTTAATTGATGTTACCTCCTCCTAGGGGTGTAAGGGTGACAATGAAGATTAGCCATCATAAAGGGCTCTCTGCTAAAAACAGGCAAACAAGGAAAGCTGCAGGCATGAGATAAACGAAGCCAACCTAAGAGAGAGGCGCTGTGTGTGCCAGGTAGCTGACTGGAGAGGCAGCCTGCCCGGGTTCTTTGGCCAAGATGACTCCATGACAAGCCGCAGACACCAGAAAGGGAACTGCAGGCTTTGGTATTTGTCCTGCTGGGTTTTGGTTTTGCTTTGATCTGATCTTTTCTTTGCTATCCTCCATTCCTCCCTTTAGGGATAGAAATTTTACTCTTATGATATTGTATGTTGGAGATACGTGACTTGTATCATTGTTGTTGTTACTATTATTATTCTGTAGAGGCTCACAGTTAAGAGACAACCTCAAGCCTCAGAAGAGATCCTGGATTTTTGAACACCGTTGGAACTGTTAAAGAACATGGAGACTTTTGAAATTGTACCACGAGATGGCCATGAGCATGGAGAGACCAGGAGGGGAGTGCTGCCCTTCAATGTGAAATGTCCCTCGTTGGCGCATGTGTTTGATCCTCAGCTGACGACACTGTTTTGGAAGGTTGTAGGACCTCTGGGAGGCAAGGTCTCGCTAGAGGAAGTGGGTTACTGAGGGTGAGTGGTGCAGGGTATATGAACACCGGGATTGTGTTCTTTACTGGAAATCCCTGTTTCTAGTTGTGGTGTGGCTCAGGCCTAGAACACACTTTTCATCCAAAAGCTTGCAGCTTGAATGAGATAAAATCAACCACGGGTCACGAGGCAGAACAAGCAACTAGTTGACAGGGGATGAACATAAGACAAGCAACCATAGAAAGTAAGAGGAAGTCAGGAAGATGGAGAGAGAGATGCACAGGAAGTGAAGAGAGGGACATTTAGTTCTGACGGATTTTGAGGTGATGTGGGGAAGGAGCACACCTCTGGGACATTGGCTGAGGAGGAAGGTCAGCTGGAGCCTTCTCTGCCTCTACGAGCCAGCAGGCTTTCACCCCAGCATCTGGATCTCCAGTCTTCCTTGGTAAAACCAAATGTTTGAGGTTTTGTTAAAGACAACAGGTGGGCTTAAGGTTTGATAGCCTGGCCTCGTCTCCTGCCCAGTCTGCTTCCTGGCTGTGGACACAGTATGACGAGCCACCTCATGCTCCTGCCATCTTCCCTTCCATCCACGATGGACTGTATCTCTTCTTAAACTATAAGCCAACAGAAAGCCTTCCTCCCTGAAGTTGCTTCTTATTAGGTATCTGGTAGCAAGAAGAATCCCACCAACCAAATTGCCACGCTATTATTGACGAGGGCTGGGGGATGGCTGGGTGGCTGAGGCCCTTGCTGGGCAAGCATGAGGACTTCTGGTCGGGTCCCCAGAACCCCTGTGAAGCTGGACGCAGCAGTGTGCACCTGGAGCCCAGGGCTCTCACAGTGAGATGGGGAACGAAGACAGAATGCCTAGAAGATCGCAGGTCCGTCAGCCTGCCGTATACAGTGACAATGATCTCAAACAAGGTGGAAGATGAGGAATGACACCCAGGGTATTACTGTGATCTTTACACACATGCCCCAGCATGTACACGGCCCCCAGCATACAACATACATTTACATATACTAAAATAAAAAATAAAACCTGCAGAGTGCCCCCCCCGCAACATGTGGAATGTCAAAGTAGAGGCTCTTAATGCCTGATGTCTTGAGGTGGGACGTTATGACAGCCATGCTAACCAGTCCCATACAGCCATCTCAGGACAGGGGTCAAGAATGCAAGGTGAGGAATCCAGGGAGAAACAAAGAGCTTATAGTTGGGCTGGGTGAGATGGTGCCTATTTGTGGCTGCAGCACTGAGGAGACTGAGGCAGGAAGATAAAGGTCAGTCAGGGGTTGGGGAGCAACCCTGGTTGTTCTGTCAGCAAGGCATTTACCGTGCAAGAATGAGAACCTCGGTTCTGACTCCCAGCAAGAAACCAACAAGCCATGCGTGATGCCATGTGATCATGGTCCCACCACTGGGGAGGCAGAGATGAGCAAATCCCTGGAGCTTGCTGGCCAGCAGAGCTGAAGAGGGGAGCTCCACGTTCAGCAAGAGACCCCATCTCAGAAGATAAAGTGGAGAACAATTGAGGAATATAGCAAGCTTGACCTCTATCCTCCACATGCAATTCACACACAACACAGACACACACACACACAGTTCACAGTTCATAGTCAGTCACACTGGATTACACAGTTGAGACTCTGTCTCAAAAATAAACAATCAGCTTCTATTTTGGAATAGTTGCAAGTGGCACTGCACAGATAATAAAAAAGTTAGGTTGTGCTTCGTAGAATTAGATGCCATGCAAAGCCAGTGCTGGGGACAAAATGGCCTCGAGTTGACGTTAATTCTATCCTTTTCTGAAATGCTGTTCACACTTTGTTGCTGGATATTAGAAGCCAGCTGGGGCTGGAGATGTGGCACAGACCTTGCCTTCTAGCCCTAGAAAAAGGAAAGGCTGAGAATAAAAAAGTCTGAGATGGTGTCTTAGTTACTTTTCTACTGCTGTGAAGAGGCACCATGACCAAGGCAACTTACAGAGTTTATTGGAGGCTTACAGCCCCAGAGGATGAGAGTCCGTGACCATCACGGAAGGTAGATGGTACCTCAGCAGTAACATATCCACAGGTAGAAGGCAAGAGAGAGAGAGCTGAGAATGGTATAGACTTCTGAAACCTCACCCCGGTGACAGGCCTCCTTAATCCTTCCAAACAGCTCCACCAACGTGGACCAAATATTCAAACATGTGAGTCCATGAGGTCTGTTCTCACTCAAACCATCACAGCATGGCAGCGCCTTCCCTGTCATCCCAGTTGAGGTAGGAGAAGCACCTCACACTTAAGGCCAGCTTGAGCTATACGGTGAAACTCTGGCTCAAGACAAACAAATAAATAAAAATGAAAAGCAGTGCCCTTCATGTCAGGAAGCAGCCTCAGCACAACACGGCTCGCCTGTGTGGAGGAGGTTGGGACAGATAGCTGAGGAACAAAGGCAGCTTGGTTCCCTACCAGGCAGGTGCAGAAGTGTGGGAGGAAGTGAACAGAGTCGGGGAGCAGGGCAGAGGAGGGAGTGACACTGCTCCAACTTTAAAAGAATTATTATTGAGATACAATTTACTTATCATAAAACTCAGCCTTTAGGGACTGGGGGCGGGGTGTGGATCAGTGTTAGAGAACATTAGCTTAGCCTGCGAAAGCCCAGCATGAGATGATAATTCTTGAGAGTATAAAACTCGGTGGTTTAATATTTCAAACTGCACAGCCATCTCTGCCAGTAAACTTCAGAACGTGCTCTTCGCCCCAAGAGAACCTGGGTGCTCACCCAAAGTCATGCCCCATCCCTTCCTGAGTTACCCTGGGCAACAGCTAATCCACTCTCTGGCTCTTTGGACTCGTGGATGTTTCACCTAATGGAATCAACAACATGTGGCCTTTTGTTTCCGCAGTCTTTCACTTAGCGTAGTGTTGTCACGTTGGGGCATGAATCAGGACTTTATTCCTGTTTATGGTTGGATAATAGCCCATTGTGCAAATATGCAGATTGTGTTTACCGGTTCATGTGTTGGTGGGCGGCTACTTTTTGGCTACTGTGAATAATAATGCTGTACACTTCTCTGGAGGGGTATTCTCCAGAGAAGACTGCTTGGACATGGGTTTAGGCCAACAGAAAGTGTTTATTAGCCAGACAGCGACTATACCGATTGTTTGGGATCGCAGCATAGCACCAAGCCTTTCTCAGGGTGAGTTTTTAAGGACAACATATCCTGGCTTGACAGACTTCATTTAGCAAGAACAGTTAGCCAGAAGCAGAACTGCAGAAGCCAAAAGAAAGGTTAGTACATTTAGAGACGTTCCCAGAACTACGGGATTTGAGGAATTCAGTTGTGGCAGGTGGTGCTGTCTACAAGCTGAGCTTTACGGTCTGAATGATACTTCCACCATGGAGTCAGTTGTACCAAGGACCTACTAAGTTTGGGTCCTGTTACACACACATTCGAGTAAGAGCTTTTGGGAGGGTGCACATTTTCAACTCTCACAGGGATGTCTTGGGGCAGAATTGTGGTTCCAGGGTAATTCCACGTGGTTCTGTTTGTGTCTGGTGATGAAAGTGGGGCTTAGGGTCTCAGGCATGGAAGCACGTGCTCTCGAATGACAATGGATCGCAGCCACAGTCTCACATATTTGATTTTAATTATTTATCTGTTTTTATTATTGTTTAATGTGTCTGGGTGTTTTTCCTACATGTATGTCTGTGGCACGCATGCATGCCTTTTGTCTTTGAAGGCCAGAAGACAGTGTTGGATCCCCTGGAACTAGAGTTACAGATGGTTCTGAGCTGGGTGCTGGGAATGGAACCCAGGTCTCTGGAAGAGCAGTCAGTGCTCTTACCTGCTGAGCCATCTCTCTAGCCACCAACACATTTAACTTAAAAACAATTATTTAGGAATGTAGTATACAAACTTATATGCAGATATAACACTCATACATATAAAACTTAAAAATAAATAATTAAAAAAATCATTTATGATGGGGGGCAAGTGTGGAGGTCAAAGGGCAACTTGCAGGAGTTGGTTTTCTCCTTCTTCCATGTGGGACCCAGGGACTGAGTTCATATCGTCAGGTTTGTTAGTAAGTACCTCTTCATGCTGATTCAAGGGCTCATGTATGTAGTCCGGCCTACCTTTAAAGTTTCCATGTAGTTGAGGGTGGCATTCAATTCCTGATGCTTCCGCTTCTACTTCTCAACAGTTGAGAGTACCACACCCACTTGGATTTTATCTATCTATATCTATGTATCTATGCATCTATGTATCTGTCTATGTATCCATCTATGTATCTATGTATGTATGTATGTATGTATGTATGTATGTATCTATCTATCTATCTATCTATCTATCTATCTATCTATCTATCTAT